TAATGCTTGTTTATACTCGCACCCGGCTCCGCACCGCAAGTCTCCATGAGCGCATCTGTCAGTATGTGTGAGGCTTGACGCACACGCGCAACCTGTGTCGACTCGCGCCTGGCTCCGCGTTTAAAACGAATGTAAATTCAGTCTAACTGCTTGCTAATTTCACTTGGATGAAATGAAACATTCAGCACATTTTACACTTATTCTTAAAATCCCAAATACTTAAAATGAATAAATCAGCCTATGTAACATATGTAATACTTTAATAATTGACTTAAGAAATACAGTTCTTTATTTATAAAAAATAAACAAATATTTTCTGTGAAATTCAGTAATTAAGTTAATTCTGTAAAAGCAGTTATACCGTTATAATCTTGCCTGCTGAAGAAAAAAACAATACCCTATTATGCAGAAATATAGAAAATTCTAAAGGGTTCACAAACTTTCAAGCTGCACTGTATTTCGTGCACAGTATGGAAATAATATGTGTATTTGTGTGTTTCTTGTAGGTGAATTGGACAGCAGATATAAACGCAGAAGAGCTTTCTCAGGGAAAACTGCCAGCTTTAAGTGTCCCGTCTCAAGCACAGAGAGAGCATTTCTACCTTGTGTCTTTCCACGACAAGCACACAGTCAACTTTTCCTTCATCATTGTGTAAGTTACTCACAAATCATGTGTATGTCTGTCTTCCGTTATATGCCAAAACAAAAGCATATCTCTGTTTGTTTGTGTGTCTGTAAAGGCCTCGTCCAGATGAGCCTGAGCGCTTGCGTGTCAACCTCAGCGAGTCGACTGTGAAAATGGGAGAAATTATGTCAGGAAACATACGTAAGTACCATCTTTAGGTAGGTCATAATCAATGTTCCCTCTAAGCACGCGCACTTCTTACGCCGTGGTCACTCAGAAGAAATAATATGCTGTGCACAGGACAGACGCAAAAATGAGCTGGGAAAGCCATTTAATTGAATTCTAGTGTAAACGTGAAATAATTGCAATGCTCGGACCAACCGCTATAGAGTTAGAACCGGTGAATGCGGTTTACAGGTTTCATAGAAAGAGAATGGTGTGTGCCAAATCAGATTGGCACAGAACGGTAACAAAACATTTACAGTTACACACAGGTGTAATAGTGTGTAAACTCTACTGCATGCGTATGTTTAGATAACTATATAGTGTTCACGTTTAAAATATTTATTGAAAATAGTTGTATATTATGTATATGTATTAAAAATCTTTTTATATTATATTATATTGAAAATATTTGTATATTATACTATATTATAATATATTTATTGAAAATATTTGTATATTATATTATATATATTTATTGAAAATATTTGTATATTATATTATACTATAGTATATTATACTATACTATCCAATACTATATTATATTTTATTATATATATAAAAAATATTTATATTCTATTATATTAAAGCCTAATAAATAATTGACCTCAAAAAGGGAATTCATTAGCAATAACTACTTCATTTTTTCATATTATATTATGTTATAATATAATATAATGGTAACACTTTACAATCATTAAATAATAGTATTTAACTGTATTAGTTAACATGAACTAATCATGAACAATACTTCTACAGCATTTATTGATCTTAGTTCATGTTAATTTCAACATTTACTAATGCATTACAATTAAAAGTTGTATTTGTTAACATTAGTTTATGCACTGTGAATTAACATGAACTACTGTATTGTAACATTAACAAAGATTAATAAATACTGTAACACGTGATTGATTGTAGGGCATAAGAAGATCCGTTAAATATACAGGAGTTAAACCATTTAGTGCCTTATAGGTCAGTAGCAATATTTTGAAATCAATACGGAACTTGATAGGTAACCAGTGTAGAGATGATAAAATTGGGGTAATACGATCATATTTTTTTGACCTGATAAGAACTCTAGCAGCTGCATTTTGGACTAACTGTAGCTTGTTAATTAAAGATACAGGACACCAGCTAGCAGTGCATTACAGTAATCTAGTCGAAACTAGAGAAGTGTGACATAATAAACCTCTGTAAATAAATACAATTTAAATTCACATCTCTCACACTTTAATGCCATTTGAATGGAACATATACACTCCCTTCTAACTGGAATCATAGCGGAATGTCCACTTCGCAGGGCACTTACGATCGAATAGAACAAACGTCTGAAATGATTAGAGAAACACACAAAATGTGCAGAGCACAAGGACTGGAATTGAGAACCACTGACTGTGCATCTCTCTCCTACAAACAATGAAACTGTGTTTGGTTACTTCAAAAACAACTATTTTACCTCCTTGTTGTTACGAAATGTATTGTAGCTATCAAGTATTTAAGCTATTTTATTGATAGAAGTCACAGGGCAGCGTTGACGACAAGTTTCTGTGCTCCTGAATGTTTCTGTGCGTGCGCAGCGCGATCTGTGATCTCTGTGTGTGTGCACTAATATAGAACGGTGATTAAACTGACTTGGAGCTACCTGCGCATTATACGGTTTTAATGCACACCTTCCAACCAATCAGGATCGAGTTTTCAGACAGAACATGGTATGAATATATTTACACAACAGTTCTTTCTGGTTCTTGAGTCTGATTGGCTGAGAGGTCTTTAAACCAATGAGATTCACCTCCATGGGAACCGTTTCGCCATTTGCATCACTCGTATTTCTCACAGCGAGCGTCATGGCCGACGACCGAATCCACTATAATTTTATAAATAATACTGTTTTTGTCACAGAATGTAGTTTTAAGGGTGAGAATTTACTTGTTTAGACTTTTCGGAGATGTGAGACGAGAGCAGCCTCACCTCGGCCAGATCTTCTGGAATTTGCCGCTGACTCTGATGTCTCTATAGTGGCTAAACATGAGATATAATTTGTTTTGGGTAATTCTAACGGGCAGTCTTTGGTCTCGTTAATCTATTATTTGTTCATTCTGTGCACTGGATGGGAATAAGCGCTCTGTGCTGCTCAGTATTTGAGCTTTTCATATTATAATACTTGTTCTGTCCTATCTATCATGCTGTTGCCTCCTTAAAAAGCAGATTTTTTTGTAGGTTTTTTAAAAAAAAATTTTTTTTTACATTTGTTATTTTTCTTTATAAAACGGACAGTTCCGGTGCTTGATTCTGATTGGTTGAGCCACGTTCGGAGCTGTTGTAATTTTCATAGTTCATAGTTCACATTTCATAGTTCCCTAAAAATAATTTTTTTTGTTAATTTATTTAATAAATTGTTGTTTAATAGTATAAGTTTTGTGATGTCAAATAATTAGACATGTTTTTTAATTACTGAAATGGAATAAAAATGGAATCTAGAAAAAATTTAAACTGAAAACAAGGAATTTTGGGGAAAAAATTACTGATTTAACTCTTTCCCCGCCAGCATTTTTGAAAAAAAGTTGCCAGCCATCACCAGCGATTTTGATGATCTTCACAAAAATTTGATGGCCTTCTGTATATTTTGCTGTATGAATATTTGAATATGCAATACACCAAAATAAAGATCAGAGCCTCTACTTTTAAACAAAAAAAGTTTTATTTTAGCTTAAAGCATTCTTTTTTTTATCAACACTTGAATATAGGTAGGTTTCATAAAAAATGCATTATTTTGAGCAAAAAGGTGAGAAAATCACATTTTTATCAAAAACTACATCTGGGTAATGTTCAGTACGATTATCAAAGCATAAATCCAGTAAATCGCTTCCATCAACACCTCCAAAGCTTGCACAGACATATACCACTTCCTGGATCAACATTTTACTCCATAACATTGTGCAGTTTACATTTATATGCTGTCTATTGCTGATGATCGCATTATTTTTCATATGCATCTGTTTACATAAGAGATCGCTAGTTTCTCCGTCCTGTTCACATGTGTTTTTGTTCGGGAGGTTTTGTACTCGTTCAGAAGATGCGTAATAGTGGCCCTGAGTGTATAACAGTGAAAACATGAAAAGCCATAAAAACTCGTCTTTCGCGGGGAAGCGTTTTCTTCTAAAAGAGGAGATAACTCGTCAATGGCGGGGAAAAGTTAATAGGGCCCTGCCAATAGTATTTATCTTGTAGTAAAAAAAGGGGGTATAAATTGCAAGGTGTGTACACCGTCAAACCACACAGTGTGTGTATTTATGTGTATGGCTTTTCGCAGGCCAGTAGTGGACTGTTGTCTGTATGCGGGGTCCGCTTCGTGGGAGGATCTCTTGGCCCGAGGGAGTTGTGCTTTAAGTATCAAGACATGAAGGAGTTTGTGCGAATCGAAGTCACTGCGGGACCTCCGGTACTGATAAAGCTACTGAATGAGCCGGAGATGGTATGCCACACATTCACAACCCGAACACTGAGCTTCATGGGTGAGAAGAGTTTGACTAAAGCTGGTCTCTTTAGCCTCTCCAGGTCGTGAATGGCCAGGGCTTGGACGCGCCGCTGGTCGTGCTGCTGTGTGACGAATGGGGAAATCCTTCACCAGACCAGCGGATTGCAATCGTGATGAAGACTCTGTTGCCACAGTTGAAGGTACATTTGAGGGAGGAGAGGTCTGTGGATTTATAATGGCAAAAAAAAGACTGTACTTGAAAAGTCCTTTAAAAAAAAAAAAACAACTTTAACAGCCATGTGCAGTGTCACTAAACTGTCATAAGATTCGAAATTTGATCGCTTCTCAATAATCAAGTTATTACGAAGTTGACAAGTAGAGTGTTTAACTATTATGAATGATCAAAAACAAATAATTGCATGAAAGTGAAACACATTTCTTAGTTGTGCTCGTCTGCATCATGGTTCCTATTGTGTGTTCTGTAAATCTAAAAAATTTTTTTTCGATTTTACTTGAGAACTAATATCCTACTGTTCAACTG